AAAAAACTTCCTATTATATGATTCTTTATCTAACACACAAGAAAGGCAAATACAGAAAATGTGATGTGTCAGAGACGAAATCAATATTCTGTGACCAGAAGGACCACTATTGCTCAAAGCTGAACTGGAGAAAAGAAAAAACTAATGGAAGGCAGCCATTGGTGTTTTATTCCAACACTTACCCAGTTTATAAAAATAACCTTTTATCTTTCCTATACAAATATCTGAGCTGCAGTATTATTCAAAGTACATGCACTCTTGATGGGCATGGAGGAGGGCACTTGTGGGGAGGAGCACTGGGTGTTATATGGAAACCAACTTGACAATAAACTATTAAAAAAGAAAAGAAAAGAAAAGCCAAAGTACATGCACTCCATTGTATTAGGTGATATGTAAATAAAATCCCAAGGAGTCCACATGTGAAGACATGTCTAACATTGGTCTCATTCACATGCAGGTTTCTCAGGGCATTTTCTGGGGGTCAAGGACAGGATCCACTCAGTGCTCTAGTAACCCTCTATGTTTAATTTCTTTTAAAACTTGCAGTTTCTTAAAAGAAAAAAAAAAAAAAACTTGCAGTTTCTTTAGGACCATTTTGCCCAGGATTCATCAGGTGCTATCTACCCAAAATAAGCATCAAGAGCTGCTATCACCTCAAATGACTTAGTGCTTAGATTTTGATGAGAAACAGCTTAAATGTATCCATATTTAGGAATGCAACAATTCTTTAATGAGATCATGAGTATGTCACAAGCAATACAATCATTAGTCAAAAAACTGTACTCAATTGGCCAAAAGATAAATGGGGATAGAGGTCATCAGCACCGGCCAGGGTATATAAAGGGCCCAGAGCAGGAGGGAGGCATTCACACCTGACAACACCCGAGTCCTCTCACCCCTCCAACCCAAACCAGCCTCAGACACCACCATGTGCGGCCCCTGCTGTGGCTCCACCTGCTCCTCCTCGGGCTGCGGGGGAGGCTGCTGCCAGCCCTGCTGCTGCCAGCCCTGCTGCTGCCGCGACCCCTGCTGCTGCCGCCCCGTCAGCTGCCAGACCACCGTGTGCCGCCCCGTGACCTGCACCTGCCGCTGCACGCGCCCCATCTGCGAGCCCTGCCGCCGCCCCGTCTGCTGCGACCCCTGCTCCCTGCAGGAGGGCTGCTGCCGCCCCATCAGCTGCTGCCCCACGTCCTGCACGGCCGTGGTCTGCCGCCCCTGCTGCTGGGCCTCCACCTGCTGCCAGCCCATCTCTGTGCAGGCGCCCTGCTGCCGCCCCCCCTGCTGCCAGCCTGCCCCCTGCCGCACCACCTGCAGGACCTCCTCCTGCTGCTGAGTCCACTGTCTAGAACAAGCAATCAACCTTCTGAAAGAGTCATACTCCTTTCTCTACCTAAGAAACCTCCTGCCCTAAACCATCAAGACCCCAAGTCAACCAGGGGTTTGAATGGAGATCCAGGCTCATCTATTAAGACCTGGGCTGTTCTCAAGTCTTTGTAACAGTATCAACTCCCTTCTTCCCACCTTAGATCTTAGGTCTTGTGGCATGTTTGTTTTCTAATAAACTTCTCTTCTTTGGCCTAGCAAACCCATATTTGGTTTCTTATTTATTCCACTTTTTTCCATTAAATTTAAATATAACAAAATGTACTGATTGCCTACCATCTGCAAGTCACAGACTATATGGCATACAATAGAAATTAAAGTGAATTAAAAATACTCCCTTCTTCAAAAAACTTCTAGGGAGATAAATGAAATTCATAATAATGCATCTAAAAATTAGAAAATGAAAAAAAAAGTACAACACACTTCAGTGTGTCAAAAAGTCACTACTGATTGGGGAGAACAAAAAAGACTGAAAAGGAAGCTAACATTTTATAGAGGTTAAGATTTTAGCATACAGATCTAAAGGAAGATGGCATTTTCAACACTGGTAACGGTATGCACAAAGGTATCTATAGAGAGAGATTGTTCAGATGATAGTTTGGCTGGGAACACAGGATATATGTAGAATAATAGTGGAAGATAAATCTGGAAAATGTGTGTGCTTTGAATAGTAACCAAACTAGCATGCCCTTAATGCAATAAATACTAAGGAGTTGTTGAAAGCCTTGGGGCAAGTGAATGGCATGACAGGCATTGGGCATCAGGATGATTCCTATGGTAGCTGTTTATTAAAAAAGAAGGCCAAAGACTAGACAATATAATGGCTATACAGAAACAAATCAAGAGGCCACTGTACTGGTCCAAGCAATATACAATAAGAGTTGAACTAAGATGATAGCCACAGAATAAAGAAAACACAAAGGTATGGCAGACATAGAAACCCAGAAAGTATATTACCTAATATGAATATGGGAAACAAGAAACAATTAAGAATCAAATGTCTTATTGCAGCTCTAGGGAAAATTCTTCTGATCAGAAGATACTTAAAAGAATCTTAACATTTTTATACTTAGTTACTGTGTGTTTAAAGTTACTACTCCATAGCATTTCTGCCCGCTACTACTATTTCTATTCTTGAGATATTATAAAACATTTTTAAAAATAGGAGACAAAGAAGATTTTTGGTTTTCTAAAAATGTTTATTTACTTATTTTGAGAGAGAGAGAGAGAGACAGAGAATCCAAAGTAGGATTCATGCTGTCAGCACAGAGCCAGATGTGGGGCTCGATTCCATGACCTGGAGATCATGACCCGACCTGAAATCAAGAGTCAAACACTCAACCAACTGAGTCATCCAGGCACCCTGAGACAAAGAGCTTTAAGAATTAATTGATCCTGGAAAATAGCATGGTATAAAATAAAATAAATAGCTATAACTGATGTAGGAAGGAGAGACAGGAGTTTTATACCCAGCTCTTGGCTGTGTACCATCTGACTAAAGCAAGTCATTAAACTTTCCAAAATGCAGCCACTCCTAGACTCAACAGTATTCTAACATCAGCTAATGCTGAAAGGAAATTAAAACCAGTCTGGGAGCACCTGGGTGGCTCAGTTGGTTAAGCATCCCACTCTCAATTACAGCTCAGCTCAGGTCATGATCTCACAGTTCATGAGTTCAAGCCCCTTGTTGGGCTCTGTGCTGACAGTGTGTAACCTGCTGGGGATTCTCCTTCTCTCTCCCTCTCCCCCTCCCCTACTTGAACTCACACACCCCTCTCCCTCTCTCTCTCTTTCTCTCTCTCTCTCAACAAATAAACAGTTTTTTAAAAAGCAGACTGTACCACAATATCAATGTTCCAATTTAAAACTACAAGGATGGATATTAATATATTTGATTCTTTTCCTTGATTCATCCCTCCTCTCAGTACTATAATGATTCATAAACTACAGCAAGATATGTAGCACACAGATTGACTCTTGCTTTCTGCACAATGTTTTAGTGCTCTGGGTAAAATATGATGATTTCATAAACACTGCTATATATAAAAACAATGACATCAGTACCTATACAAATAAATGTTTGGACAGATGATTTATTAAGTTTTTGATCTCTGACATTTTAGGATTCCTTCAACCATTTTTCACCTTCATACCTATAGTCATGGTTATCACATGACATGGATATCTTTCTTGACACTGGCATGAATCACATTCTAATATAATTCTATCATTGTACAAACCAATACCTCCATCTCTTAAAAAGCTAACTATGTGTTTCTATTCAAAATTGGAAGGAAATGACAAACCTACTGCAAATAGCAATAATAGGCTCTTTTTTTCTTATTTCCCTCCATATAACCCTAAACAGCAAATAGAAAATCATATTCTTTATTTTGGCAACCAACAAAATTGTTTCAAATTTATTTTACTGAAATTTATACCCAGCTCTCTGGCTGTGTACTGTGTAAATGGAGCAAGTCACTAACCTCTCCAAAGTATAGCCATTCCTAGACTCAACAGTATTCTAGTATCAACTGATACTGAGGGGAAATTAAAAGAGGTCCATATCACAACATTAACCCCTTTATACTTATACGGTAGGTACACGTAATCTCTTTTCACTTATATCCATTTCCTACCCTGCCTTATAAACACTGTGATACAGAAAAAGTATTTCTTAACTTCTGCTTTTTCTTTTATTGATTCCTTTTCATAAATTCAATTGTCATACTCTTTGGTTCAACATCCTTTCATAAGATACATGGTATAGTTACACAAGATGACATAAACTGAAAACAAATTCCACCTTTTAGAAATAAATACTGTCTAGACAATCCACAGAGCAATGATTTTTATCTTTCATAGAGAAATATAAATTACACTTAAAATTTTGTGTGGTATTTTCCTAATTACTGGCTATCAATTTTAGCCCTTTTAAATTCATGCTAATAAAATATCCATAGTAAGCTGGAATGGAACAGTGTTTGTCCTATGTATCTTCCTGAGTGATGTTTTCTCAAGTATGAATGTATGGAGTTCAGGAGAGATCATGGAAATTGGAGGCCAATTTCTGGAAAAATATATGAATTTCTATGAATGTGAAGTTTATCAGGATTTGTATCTGACTGACTGTAGAGACTATAATCTTATTAATCAAAAATATATAAAGATAGTCTTACACAAAGGGCAGTCAATTGTTAATAATTTTTTTCTGGAGACTTGGATTTTGGTAAATATTACTCCCAAATCAAATCCTCTTATGAGTGAGAGTCACTTGGTCAGGCGATGTGACCATAAATGCAGAATGGAAGCTGAGACTTGAGGAAAAATTACAGCATTGTTTGGAAATGAAACAACATTTCTACCAAGGATGGACACATTTAGTGAGTATTAGCTTAGCAATAAAGGAAAAACCAATTTGGGGGTGTAGTTAAAACAACTCAGTATCTGAACAATCAAAGGGCTCTGCAAAAGCTTGTTTAAAGAGTAAGAGGATAAAAATGCTGTCCATCACAAACACAGGAACTGGCCAAGACCTATAAAAAGGCCCAAGTGGAATACCAGCTCTAAGTCAAACCCCTCTCAGCAACCCAACTCTCAACCCAACTCCTGACACCATGGCCTGCTGCTCCACTAGCTTCTGTGGATTTCCCACCTGCTCCACCGGCGGGAACTGTGGCTCCAGCTGCTGCCAGCCCAGCTCCTGCCAGCCCAGCTGTTGCCAGCCCAGCTGCTGCCAGCCCAGCTCCTGCCAGAGTAGCTGCTGCCAGCCCAGCTCCTGCCAGCCCAGCTGCTGCCAGCCCAGCTGTTGCGGGACCAGCTGTGGCACTGCTGGTGGCCAGGAGGGTGGCTGCGGAGGCGTGAGCTGCCGCGTCAGGTGGTGCCGCCCCGACTGCCGCGTGGAGGACACCTGCCTGCCCCCCTGCTGTGTGGTGAGCTGCACTCCCCCCACCTGCTGCCAGCTGCACCACGCCCAGGCCTCCTGCTGCCGCCCATCCTACTGCGGCCAGTCCTGCTGCCGCCCTGCCTGCTGCTCCTACTGCTGCCAGCCCAGCTGCTGCCAGCCCACCTGCTGTGAGCCCACCTGCTGCCAGTCCACCTGCTGAAACTCTCTTTCTAAAGGAACCCTGAGAAAGTGGCACTTCAAAATGAGCCAATGCAGAGTCCCAATAAACTCCTGAGCTTCAATACCCAGGACACAGCTTTCAAATGGCTACATAATTTTCCTAAGATGTGAATCGAATCAAAGACCAAAAATATTTCATAAATCTGCACATGAACAGAAGTCCTACAAAGTTAAGAGGAATGTATAAAACTTTTACTATAAATATCATCTGAAATAGTTCAACAGCTCATTGGGTTTGGGATTTAATAAAATTTTTATTCTTCAATGACAAGGTCATTGTTGGAGCTTTCTTTTCTTTGGAATTTGTTGTTGATATTGGGGTATTTGGATTTTTCAAAATCTCAGACATGGTATGGCACTATGGTTTTTCTTTATTTTTTTCCTTTTTTAAGGTCTGCAAAAAATAGTTTTCCTTTGTTTTTGGACCATTAATGGTCCAATATTCTACACCCAAAATCTATGATTAAAAGAATGTGTCAGTATTTAGGAACTATTCTCCAAGGTCTTCGTGTGTGCAAATTGACAGGCTAGGTGTTTCAGAAGATCAATTTTATCAAAAAGGAATTTTTATGTTATTTAGCTTCTTGAGATATTACCAAATTTATTCATTTCCTTCATATATAATTATGTGTACAATTCTTTCAACTATCTAGGGCATAAAAGGGTAATACATAATTGGAAAGACAGTAAGCATAAGATTTCAAAGTTCTAGCATAAGATATAAAGACGTTCCAAGTTCTAATCCCCACTTAGTAACTAAGAACCCAAGGATTCTTGTTTTTTAAGTTTATTTATTTATTTTGAGAGGGAGAGAGAGCAGGGGAGAGGGGAAGAGGAAGAGCGACAAAATCCCTAGTGGGCTCTGCACTGTCAGTGCAGAACCCTATGTGGGGCTCAAACTCATGAACTATGAGATCATGACATGAGCTGAAACCAAGAGTTGAGTGCTTAACCGAGTGAGCCACTCAGGAGCCCTGGACCCATGGATTCTGGAGCAAGGCCCTTCACCTGCCTGGGCACCAAGTTAGAAAAATTGGAAAACAAAAGAAATGACTTTCATTGCTTACAATATCCCTCCCAGGCACAGGATGGGTTATTTCCTAAACAGGTGATGCACTGATAATTAGTCTCTTCAGATGCCCAGTGATGAAAAATTATGCAACAGTCAAGTAATGCTGCATGCATTTTCACCATGTTGAAGGTTTATAAAGCACATGAGAATACTAAAGAAAGCTCTGTAACTATTACTCCCAAAGTGAGTTAGTCAGAGAATACTCCATTCATTTATTACCAACTAGCATCCTGGAACTTAATGTTCCTCAAAATATGCTTTGGAAAATGATGAAAGGGAATTTCAACCAATGCTTCTACAACATCTATACAATTAGCTCATGTACCATGAACTAGAAAAATAGATATTCATTATAGGAATGGATTTAAATGAGCATGATACTGGCGTACACTATGCCCATTCTTAGTCTAATCTCCAGAGAAAGTTCTAGAATAAAGCAAGGATGAAATAAAAAACACACAATAAGAACTTCCACTTTGATGGATAAAATCTTTGATTTTAAAATCAAAGTGGTAAATCAGTGGCTGGAGATAAAGGGGGAATGAGGAGTGATTACTAAAGATTATCAGGTGTTCTTCTGGGTGATGAAAAAGGTTTTAACTACACAGAAGCATGGTAGTTGCACAACATTATGGATGCACTAAAGGCCACTCAATTGTACATCTTAAAATGGTTTAGTGTATGTTATATGAATTTCACCTCAATTTAAGAAGTAATTCGGAGAAGCTGGGTGGCTCAATCAGTTCAGCATCCAACTTCCGGCTCAGGTCATGATCTCATGGTTTGTGAGTTTGAGCCCCACGTCAGGCTCTCTACTGTTGGCATAGAGCCTGCTTTGCATCCTCTGTCTCCCTCTCTCTCTGCCCCTTCCCTCCTCAAATATAAAAATTTTTTTAAAAAAAGAAGTAAGTCAAAGAGGTGGGTCTTCACTAGCATAACCTTACCAGAATTAGAAAAAGGCATCACCTTTAGGTAGAAACAGTTTCAAGAATACACAGCTTACTGGGCCTATATCATCTTTGTATGAAAAAGGTTCTCCTTCTGAGTGGACAGAGCCTCCCCCATCAGGGCACAACCTACACATTCATACACAATGTGTCTAAAACATGTTCAATACTCTATGTCCCTCATATACCACTCTCTTGCCTTCCAAGGGGTTAGGAAGATTTAGGTTGGATGCAGCTTTTACTTAGAAGGACTTTATCTCAGAAGCACCAAAAGAGCCAGGTTGGCATTCAGAAGAGAAGAAGATCTTATTACCTGATTTAGAGTAAAAAGTTGGGGATGTTCAACTGGTTGGTATATCAACCACATCTTATCACTCAGGAAGCTAAGGCAGATGGAACTGAATTAGAGAACTAGTAAAAAGGAATTGAAAGAACCCCCAAATTTATAATAAGAAACCTAGAACCACGACATCTTAAAGAAAAATAACTCAATATATTAATATTTATAAACAGAAGGCAGGCATTCAATAATAAGAGACAAACACATTCTTTGATTCTATTGATACACTGATACTATTGGGTCTAGACCCCATCACTTAAATGAAGTAATAAAAACCAAAGAGAATAAGCACTGTAATAAAATCATCTTAAATGTAAAGTTATTGGCATTCTTTTCTCCAAGAAGATGATAGTGATTTCCAGCATTTAAAGAGGTCAGAACATCTACACAGGGAAATATCACAAATTGATTATAACTTCTTACTCTATTTGTATGAGAACCAATCAAGAAGAAATGGGTTTAAGTGGTAGGAGGAAATAATTTTATTTTCTTGATTAATTTAGGGGAGATATGGGAATGTTCAGATTAGTCTGTGGCCGAAAAGTAGAATTCTCAAATTTTAAGTGCCATACCTTATATCGTGGTTAATTTTATGTATCAACTTGACTGGGCTAAGGGATCCCCAAATAGCTAGTAAAATATTATTCTTGGGTGTGTCTGTGAAGATGTTCATGGAAGGAATTAGCATATGAGTCTGTAGAATGAGTAAAGAAGACTGCCTTCACCAATGTGGATGGGCATCATCCAATCCATTGAGACCCCAAGTAGAACAGAAAGGTAGAGGAAGGGTGAATTGTTCTATGGCTTAGGTTGGGACACTCATCTTCTCCTGCCTTCAGACTCCAGTGCTCCTGGTGAGACCTCTTGGCCTCCACATTTGTGTGAGCCAATCCCTCACAATAAATCTCTTTCTGTATATTTACATATACATCCTACTGGCTCTGTTTCTCTGGAGAACTCTGATCAAAATATTTTATTCTTAATAATTCTCTGAGGGCAACTAAGAACAGAAAAATGAAAATTGAGTTAAATTTTGCACCAAGGGAGATGATGAAAACAGTGCCACAGCAGAAAAGCATCAAAATGGAGACCTAACAGATAATACTACTATCCCCAGTACCCTCGTAAGCAGGATTTCAATTCCTCAAATATTTGAACTTTTTGGAAGGGGAGATAAATGTTTTTAGTATCAAAGATTCTACTGAATTTATATATGATAAATTTAAATAGCTCCTGAGATTGTAATAGGGACAAGTCTACATATTCCAAACATCCATGGTGGGAAAATTAGCTATTCGAAGAATCTATAATGTAGATTTGCTTAAGAAGAGGAAGCATACCTTTCTATTCACATTTGATGTGGTATCTGTAAATGCCTTCATTCTGATTTGGGAAGAGTTATGATCTAAACTCAAAACCGTCATTCCTGGAAAAGCAGAAACTAACACCTGCTATTCTGTTTCAAACTATGTAAGTGGCATTTTAACATCCACTTGCCTGTAATAGAGTCCATACTCAATGAAGGCCAGGTCACCTTTCCTTGCACCTGCAAAAAACTGTCATTTTCATCCTCATTAGCTGCCTCCTTCAAACTATATTAATTTTCCAGAAAGCTGGACTCATTCCTAGTATCTTCAGTAAACTGCATGCTGCTGATCTAACGTACCATAGTACGTCACATGCTCCCGTGCTGATATAGCTGAGTGTGATTTTTATGTAGTTAAGGACATTTGGATCTACAGGACATCCTAATATCAAAGATTAGATGAAGTCACAAGTCAAGCAGGTCAACCATTTTAGCACTCGAAATTTTCTTCAAGTTTATAATGTTGTTAAAAAAATAAAATTTCCAGAGAAGTCTCTAATACATAGTGTTATTACTCATCTTAAGCTCTGCATTTCTTCCTTTGACTTGAAAAAAAGTTTGAAAGTGAGCAAATTTTCACATCTTTCCTTTACCCTTTGATCTTCTCTGGAACAACTGCTGATGTGGAAAACAAAATATTGACTGTAGTGGTTGAAGAATTTAGTTTGGACCTAATGGCATGGGCTCAGGTTTCATATTCACCACTTCTTGGTGTGAACATGAGCAAGAGATATAACTCTGCTTGAGGCTCAATTTCCCAACATGGACGATGGAAGTTGTATAGGTAGGAGTACATAGGATTACAGTGAAAATTAAATGAACTGATACATGCAAAGTAGTCAGAACCACTTGGGCACATAAGTGCTCCAGAATCAGTAACAATTCATCCACATTCCCAGCCCACCAAAAAAGCATCCCTTTCTGGCCAACTGGATCACTTTGCTTCATAGTCAAATTGAAGATGAGAAATATAAAGGGGCAGCAGTTGACACTGGAGACTCATTGCTGGGAATTAAACTGTCATGTGAGACCCAAGAGCTCCATTATCAGGGTCAACACTGAGTAATACTGACACTCTGTAAAGGTGAGGCATCAATTATTCTTAGGGCAATGAGAAAATTTTAACAAATATGGGAGATTATGGGTTATGAACCCATGAATGCCAATGACTACCTGACTGTGGTAAAGAATCCTAATTGAAGACCAAATAAAAATGAACTTTTAAAGGCTTTCAGAGGGTGAACAAGTAACTCAGGAATAGGGCAATTATTATTCAGAGACAGATTATTTACATACAAACAAGGAAGAAATTTTGAGAATTATGTAAATAATGGCTGGTCAAGGCTTATAAAAGGCCCAACGTGGAAGTAACTACCAAAACACAAAAACTTCTCTCAGCAACCCAATTCTTAACCCAACTTCTGATACCATGGCCTGCTGCTCCACTAGCTTCTGTGGATTTCCCACCTGCTCCACCGGCGGGAACTGTGGCTCCAGCTGCTGCCAGCCCAGCTCCTGCCAGCCCAGCTGCTGCCAGCCCAGCTGCTGCCAGACTAGCTGCTGCCAGCCCAGCTGCTGCCAGCCCAGCTGTTGCCAGACTAGCTGCTGCCAGCCCAGCTCCTGCCAGCCCAGCTGCTGCCAGCCCAGCTGTTGCGGGACCAGCTGTGGCACTGCTGGTGGCCAGGAGGGTGGCTGCGGAGGCGTGAGCTGCCGCGTCAGGTGGTGCCGCCCCGACTGCCGCGTGGAGGACACCTGCCTGCCCCCCTGCTGTGTGGTGAGCTGCACTCCCCCCACCTGCTGCCAGCTGCACCACGCCCAGGCCTCCTGCTGCCGCCCATCCTACTGCGGCCAGTCCTGCTGCCGCCCTGCCTGCTGCTCCTACTGCTGCCAGCCCAGCTGCTGCCAGCCCACCTGCTGTGAGCCCACCTGTTAATAGCAAGATTGCTGGTTTTCAACTTGAAGTTTCAACTTCCAAATCAATTCATGAGCTAATTATTTCCTCCAACACCCCTGGACCACTAACAAAGTCTTGAACTTTTGTTTGTTTTTTGTTGTGAGGGCTACCAAAAATGTGGGCCTCACAGATCTATCTGATTCCATCCAATTCTGGGAAGACTTTGATCTCCCCAGTGAAGTTGCCAAAATACAAATTTGACTCAAGAAATGAGAAAACCAATTTGCTTTTAGGACACATTTGAATCTACTCTGTGACTCTGCTCACTGATGCCATGGAAGAACCATCTGTCCTTCTCAGATATGTTTACCTCCTGTACTCCCCTATCCTGCAAATTGTACTTTTTATGAAAGGAGAATAATATACCAAGGTCTATTAAATTATATCTATTTGGTGCAGCAAATAATATCTCTTTTTCTTCATTGAGTTTGTTCATGATATGTTTTTCATAGAGTCACAAAAGGTTTTAATCTCTTTTTGATATCCCACACTGCTTTCCTTATATCATGCTAGGAAAACTGATCAGATATACTAGAGGTTAGTCTCATAAAAAGATACAGCAAAGACAGTTATATAGGGTCTCATAAAGTGGCACAAGCTCTATTTCCATAACCCAACATTGCAAAGAGCTTTCACAACCAGAAAATTACAGAAGTTAGGAACTCTGAATCCAAAGCCAGAATATGATGTATTTTTTTTTCAAGTCTCTTAGAGGAATGCTCTTTCAAGCAATCTTCAAACCATGGTAACATATGCCAATATATTACACTCTTTCATTCACATGTAGCCTTGCAGAATAAAACAAGAGAACCACACTCTGGGAAAGCCTCTCTGAGGAAATACACTTTTGGTTAGATGGAGAACTTTACTCTAATTCCACTCCCCACCTCACGCCGTTTCTAAACTGAAAGTGAGGATACTAATGTATCTACTTTGGTTTAAAATTTTCACTTTGAAATATACATATTTATTGTTCATACACATGCACTGATATGTAATACACATGCACTGATATGTAATACACAATGAATGTATACATAACATACAATGAATTTATACATATTTAAACACAAGCATCAGGAAATGTTTTATAAATCTGAGTAATTTTGGACAAGGATCAGGATTAATTTGTGGTTTCTTGGAGTCAGAATTAGAGGGAGCTGAAGATACTCTTTTTTATTGAAACTATTACTTGGGTTAAGATTATAATACTTTATTCATGCAAGAGTTAAGGAAAATCAAGAAATCAGAAAGCATAAATAAAGGATAACATGTAAGCAAGGGATCAATTTCCCCAACATATCTTCTAGAGATTTGATCCAACCCAGAAGACACCTTGGAACAATAGAAAAGAAATGGCAACGTGCTTTGTCCTCTTCCTCCCCCGATTTTAACTTCTGACCACTTTCAGGTATCACACCTAAGAGCACTTGCTGAGAAAAAAGTATAAAATAAATGACAAGTGACTTAGGTAAGATGCAAAATTGGCTGTTTATCATTACCATACACCACTGCCAATCATTCTTTCTTTCCTTTATTCAACAGCCTTTTCTGAGTGCCTACATTCAAGATGGTGCAGAAGGCACTACAAAGGTTACCAAGGTGAATCAGACACGGTAGATCATACCCTTGAGGAATGAATGAGCTGGTAGTGTAATTCCACAAGTTTAGTCCTGGAGTTGTCTAAAAGATCATCTCATTTTACAGATGAATAAACCAATGTTCAGAGGGCTTAAGTGCCTTTTTTAAAAAAGTGATTTAGAATCACTTAATAATAGAACCAGTTTGAGAAGCCTATTTAGTTTAATTAGCTTAATTTAGTTCTCAGTTAAGGGCTCAGTTCCCTAGATCATGTGACCCAACCATAATCACCTACAGCTGGATTACTTTAGCTTAAAATTCTATGATTTTTTTTAATTCAAAAGCACAAACTAAAAACAACTGAGGATTTATCAATAGGGTATGACTGAATAAAGTGTGGTATGGTCATACTCTGGAAAATTGCATAGCTATTTAAAAGAATGAATAATAGGTATGGGATAGGCTAAAAAATTAGAAAACCTAGATAAAATGAATAAATTCCTAGAATCATATAAACTATCCAAACCAAATCATGAAGAAATAGAAAATCTGAACAGATCTATAACTAGCAAGGAGATTGAATCAGTTAAAAAAAACTCTCCCAACAAATAAAATCCCAGTACCAGAAGCTTCACTAGTGAATTCTACCAAACATCTAAAGAAAAGTTAAAACCAACCATCCTCCAACTCTTCCAACAAATTAAAGAGGAAGGAATACTTCCAAACTTACTCTGTGAGGCTAGCATTACTCTGATACCAAAGACACTACAAGAAGACAAAACTAGAGACCAACATCTGTGATGAATATTGATACAAGATTCCTCAAGTACTATCAAACAGAATTCAACAGTACATTAAAAGGATTATACAACATGACCTAGTGGGATTTTACCCTAGAATGCAAGGATAGTTCAATATAAAAAAAATCAGTGAAATGTAATACACTGCATAACAGAATAAAGGGGGAGAAAACATGGTTAATAAATGCAGAAAAAGAATTTAATGAAATTCAACACTCTTTCATAATAACAAAAAACTCAACAAACTAGGAATAAAAGGAGCTATGTCAGACTAATAGAAGCCATATATGAAAGCCCATACTAACACAATACTCAGTGATAAAAGACTGAAAGCTTTCTCTCTATGATCAGGGAAAAAGAGAAGGGTGCCCACTTTTACCTATTCTATGTATCATAGTACTAGAAGTCCTAGCTAGAGCAATTAGACAAAATGAAATAAAAGGCATCCAAATAAGAAACAAAAAGTAAAATCGTCTCTACTTGCAGATGAGGTTATATGATATTTAGAAAACCCTAAAGACTCCACCTTATCACCCAAAAACGATAAGAAAAATGGTTAGATTAGAACTAATGGTTGATGAGAACTAATAAAATCCAGTAGAGTTGCAGGTTGCAGGATACAAAATCGATACACAAAAGCAGTTGCATTTCTATATACTAACAACAATCTACCAGGAAGAGAAATTAAGAAAACAATCCCATTTACAATAGAATCAAAAAGAGTAAAATAGTTAGGAATAAACCAAGGAGTATTTGGTTTATTTGGTTTATTCAATAACCAAGGAGATGAAAGATCTGTGTACCAAACACTGGAAGTCACTAATGAAAGAATTAACAAAGACACAAGTAAATGGAAAGGTATTACATGCTCATGAATTAGGAGAATTAATAGTGTCAAAATCCCCATACTACTCAAAACAATCTACAGATTTGATGCAATCCCTATCAAGATTCCAATGGTATTTTTCACAGAAAGGGGAAAAAAATCCTAAAATTTGTATGGAACCACAAAAGATTCAGAACAGCCAAATCAATCTTCAGAAAGAACAAAGCTGGAGGCATCATACTTCTGGTTTCAAACTATATTTCAAAGCTGTAGTAATCAAAACAGTATGGTACTGGCATAAAGGCAGTCATATAGACAGATGGAATATAAGGGAGAGCCCAGAGAGAAACCTTTACATATATTGTCAAATAATTTTCAACAAGGGTGTCAAGACCACTTAATGGGAAGGACGGTCTTTTCAAAACATGGTGCTTGGAAAATTGATAGCCACATGCAAAAGAATGAAGGTAGATCCTTAAATTATACCATGTACAAAAATTAACTGATGGATAAAAAAAAAAAAACTAAAGTTAGGAGATAAAACTATAAAACTCTTAGAAGAAAATATAGGGGGAAAGCTTCATGACATTGAATTTGGCAGTGATTTCATGGATATGACACAAAAAGCATATACAACAAAAGTAAAAAATAAATAAATTGAACTATATCAAAATAAAAAACTGTGCATCAAAGGATCGATAAACAAAATGAAAATTCAATCTATAGAATGGGAGAAACATTTGCAAATCATATATCTAATAAGAAGCAAATATTTATAATATATGAAGAATTTCTACAACTCAACAGTAACAATTAAAAACTGGGCAAGGACATGAATGGACATTTCTCCAAAGAAGGTATACAAATGGGGGCACCTGGATGGCTCAATGGGTTAAGTGTCTGACTCTTGATTTTGGTTCAGGTCATGATCTCATGGTTTGTGAGTTTGAGCCCTGTGTCAGGCTCTGCACTGACTGTGTGGAGCCTGCTTGGGATTCTATCTCCCTCCCTCTCTCTCTGCTCCTCCCCCACTCACAAACACACACATACTCTCTCAAAATAACTAAGCCTTAAAAAGATAAAGTTAATCTTTTAAAAAAGATATTCAAATGTCCAACGAGCATATGAAAAAAAGTTCCATATCACTAATCATTACAAAAATGCAAATCAAAACCACAAGGACATACAATGTCTACTCCCAAAAAACCCAAAAAGTATTGGCAAGGATGTGGAGAAATTGGAACCCTTGTATATTGTTGGTAGATATGTAAAATGGTGCAGCCACTATGGGAAACAGTATGGTGGGTACTCAAAAAACTAAAAATGGAACTAGCATGTGATCCAGCAATTCCACTTCTAGGTATATACCCAAAAGAATTGAGAGTAGTATCTTGAAAAGATATTTGTACATCCACGTTCATGGCAACATTAATCACAATGGCCAAAAGGAAGCAACTCAAGTATCCATGAACAAACAGGTAAATGGATAAACTGTGGTATATACATACAACAAAATATTATTCAGCCTTAAAAAGGAAAAACATTCTGATACATTTATAACATGGATGAGTCTTGAAGACATGCTAAGTGAAATAAGCCATTCATTAAGAAGACATACTGTATGATTCCACTTATATAAGGCATCTAGGTTGGTCAAATTCATCAATACAGAAAGTAGAAAGGTGGTTATAAAGGCTTAGGGAGGAGAGAATGAAAAAGTTGTTCTTTAATGGATACAGAGTTTCAGTTTTACAAGATATAGAATTCTGGAGATTGACTGCAAACCAATGTTTGCACCATTGCAATGTGAATGTTCTTCACACTAGTGAAATGTGCATTTAAAAATGATTAAGATGGTAAATTTTAGGGGCATCTGAGTGGCTGTTGGTTAAGCATCCGACTATGGCTCAGGTCATCTCACGGTTTGTGGGTTCAAGCTTTCCTGACAGCCAGCTCTGAGCCTAGAACCTGTTTCAGATTCTCTGTCTCCCTCTCTCTGACCCTCCACTGCTCACGCTGTCTCTTTCTCTCAAAATAAATTTAAAAAACCTTTTTATTAAAAAAAGATGGTAAATTTTATATTATGTATATTTTACTACAATTAAAACTTTTTAAAAATGTACAGATCCCAACTTTTACTTTTTATTTATATTTTAATTTTACATATATGTATCTGTGTGTGTGTGTGTGTGTGTGTGTGTGTGTGTGTGTGTATGCTGGTTTATGTTTGCAAAAGCAAGAAGAAAGGTATCAAAGAATATATATCAAATTGTTAATATTATTTCTGAAGTACTAGTTTTGGACGGGATGGGTGTTTTGCAGAAAAGAGGAAAATTATTAACTTTATTTATATGCCTGTGTACTCCTTGACTTGTTAAAAGGCATATTCATTACTAGCATATATTTTTAATTTAGTAGAGTCAGAAAACAATCTACCAGCAAAAGTCTTAAGAGTTTCAGTTGGGAATATGTACATGGTTGGTGGAAGGCAAAAATATTGGTTAGAGCTCTTACTCTTATAATTTGCACAAATAGATCCTAGAAAGGCATAGTTCTTTTGGATGTTGATTAATGTTTTGATTACACTAACGTTAGTCATTCCAACTCTGAACATATTTTCTTTTATGAGGTCCAGATCCTTAATTTAGTGACCACTTAGGAAGAAAATTCTCAGTTTACATGAACTGTCTAAAAGTTAACAAAGGGCAGGTATGACAAAGCAAGTCAGGGGTGGCCCATGTCTAGTCTGTCATATGATGTACATAAAGAGGTGTTGCTCTGATTGGCTTCCATAAGCATTCACTTGATCCAGAGGGCAAAGAAGAAACATAGTAGGACTTAATTGAATAATGACCAAAGCAGGCTATAGAAATGCTATTTATAACTTTCTAAACAACTCAGGTATCAGCCAATCACAGACTGACTTTGCAAATGGTATCAAGGAACAATGCTGAATGCTAGGGAAATATGCAGCTCTAGGATATATATAAAAGACCAGAAGCAGAAGCTGTAGTCAAAACACAAAAACTTCTCTCAGCAACCCCAACTCTCAACCCAACTCCTGACACCATGGCCTGCTGCTCCACTAGCTTCTGTGGATTTCCCACCTGCTCCACCGGCGGGAACTGTGGCTCCAGCTGCTGCCAGCCCAGCTCCTGCCAGCCCAGCTGTTGCCAGCCCAGCTGCTGCCAGCCCAGCTGCTGCCAGACTAGCTGCTGCCAGCCCAGCTCCTGCCAGCCCAGCTGCTGCCAGCCCAGCTGTTGCGGGACCAGCTGTGGCACTGCTGGTGGCCAGGAGGGTGGCTGCGGAGGCGTGAGCTGCCGCGTCAGGTGGTGCCGCCCCGACTGCCGCGTGGAGGACACCTGCCTGCCCCCCTGCTGTGTGGTGAGCTGCACTCCCCCCACCTGCTGCCAGCTGCACCACGCCCAGGCCTCCTGCTGCCGCCCATCCTACTGCGGCCAGTCCTGCTGCCGCCCTGCCTGCTGCTCCTACTGCTGCCAGCCCAGCTGCTGCCAGCCCACCTGCTGTGAGCCCACCTGCTGCCAGTCCACCTGTTAAAAGCAAGGTTGCTGATTAAGGATGAAAGGGGAAACTAAGCACACTGCTCTGACCTCTGAAGAGGTGCTTAATTTTACTCCCATGCTAAGTACCATGATGTTTCTAAGCCACTCATTCAAGAATAATGAGTCTTGGTCAGGATCCTACTGGATGTGCTGAATTAGCGCACTGAAAACATGTATCAGAGTATCTAGATATCCTGCCTTGCTTGAGAAGACTCCAGGGTAGGGTATTTCTTCATTTCAGTGACATCTCTGGTCTCCTCCCTATCTTTTGATCCGCACATATTTTTAGACCGGCTTTCTCCTTGAATATCACGTTAATTCAAATAAAATGTTTAAATGTGTAAAGCAAACTGAGTTATTTTCTTCCTTCTACCTCTAAGCTTGTCCACCTTTAGCTGGAATTCAAGGAAGTGGATTTGCATTTTTAAATAATCCTAGAGCATACACATAAGGGCTAAACCAGAAAGACTGAATACTAATTACACTATGCTTGAATCCATCAGTTAACAAAATGCTCCGTGCATTAAATAATCTTTACAGTTATTCAAATACTTAAATGCTCTAACCTATAATAATTAGGTCTAAATCAGTAAGGCCACTTTGGGCTAAAATATTCAGGTTGATCATATCTATGGAATTTCTACCTAGATGTAGCTCTACCATTTGAATCTCCCTCCAGTTTATATACTAGATGTTCTCCTTCGCATGTGCCTAATATCTAGAGATTATACTCCTTACTAAATAGATTTTTAAGATATCTACCAGATACTATCTATTCGATACTATTTTCCAAGAGCATTTAGGCTTAATTCCTATGTCTTACCCTATTCTTCCCACTGGTCTCCAAATTGCTCTCCAAGTTTCAACTCCCACACTCACCTCCATTTACTAGAAATAAGTACTCCATTTACATAGAAAGTGTATCTCTGACCTAAATGAGGATAGAACAAACAGCCAGGGAGATACTCTGTGAGTTCTACCATCGTTGTTTGTCAGACACATGTATTAGAAATCTCAAACAACTATATAGGTTGTACTTTGCAACCCAGTTTGAAAGATAGTCTCTTAGGAAGTTAAGACAAATCTAGAACAAAAGAAAAATCTTTTACCATTTAATTTTTTAATTCCTTATTAAGTATTTCAGTGCAATACAAAATACAATAGAACAAAATGTAGGATACTTTAAAAAAATATTTTCCAAGTTATTTATAAGCTCCCAGCACTTACCTCTGTCATTTAATTGGTAGCAATGATAGATCAAACACAAGATTATGCATTTCAAGGAAAAATATCCTTCAAAATGTCATAATTCCCAGGTGTTTTTCGATGAGACTTGGTTCAACTATTAAACATAGAAAAATATTCCAGCACTTCCTAGTGTCTTTTGACAATAATAAGGACTCCTCCGTGAGAGGTACTACAGCTTGAAAGTTCTATTAAATCATTTATAAGTGGTACATGAAGCCATGAATCATGTCCAGTAAACCACCCATTCAAAACCAGACTCAGTAAACATTTATTAAAGTCCTACCCAAAGCTAAGCACTCTGCTAGATATCTTTATATATATACTATGTCACCTGGTTCAAAAAAAGATTTCTGGCCTAGAATATGGATAATAAATACATATTTTGAATTGATTGAGATCAAAGGAACTATAATAGTAACTCGACTTTATGTTGAAGTAAATTAGCTGGAAGTTTTTTTTAATGTTTGTTTATTTATTTTGAGATTGAGAGACAGAGACACAGAGAGAGCATGCACACACAAGCCAAAGAGGGGCAGAAAGAGAGAGGGAGAGAGAGAGAACCCCAAGCAGGCGTCACACTGTCAGCACAAAGTCCAAGATGGGGCTCAATTTCATGAACCATGAGATCATGACCTGAGTTGAAATCAAGAGTCAGATGCTTAACCAACTGAACCACCCAGGCACCCCAGTAGGAAGCTTTGAATTATACATAACCAAAGGGCACTCTTTTCATTTCAGTGGATGTTCTAATATCCTAAATGCAAGAGAATTCAGTCTATATAGTCAGAAGAAAAAAATAATAGTTAAAATTAAGAGCACAATTATCCTTAGCCTTAGAGATATGGACAAAATATCACGTGGAATAACCACGTCTACAAAATGAGGGCATTGGCATGGGCTAAAATAGAAGGACTCTTTGAACATGGAAAACCACAAATGTATTCCAAAGAGCAAAGGACGAACATGAGCAGTCCAAATGAAACTATAAAACAGACTAATTTCTAAACTGCTGCTCATAATGGGTCATAAGTATTTCAGTGTAAGCCAATCAGAGGTCCAATGAGGAATAAATTTAAAACAAAAACAAGGAAGATATGTTAAGAATTTTATAAATAGAAGCTGGCTCAGATATATAAAAGGTCTGACATAGACCTTACCACCAAAACCCCTCTCAGCAACTCAACTCTCAGCCCAACGCCTGACACCATGGCCTGCTGCTCCACTAGCTTCTGTGGATTTCCCACCTGCTCCACCGGCGGGAACTGTGGCTCCAGCTGCTGCCAGCCCAGCTGCTGCCAGCCCAGCTGTTGCCAGCCCAGCTGCTGCCAGCCCAGCTGTTGCCAGACTAGCTGCTGCCAGCCCAGCTCCTGCCAGCCCAGCTGCTGCCAGCCCAGCTGTTGCGGGACCAGCTGTGGCACTGCTGGTGGCCAGGAGGGTGGCTGCGGAGGCGTGAGCTGCCGCGTCAGGTGGTGCCGCCCCGACTGCCGCGTGGAGGACACCTGCCTGCCCCCCTGCTGTGTGGTGAGCTGCACTCCCCCCACCTGCTGCCAGCTGCACCACGCCCAGGCCTCCTGCTGCCGCCCATCCTACTGCGGCCAGTCCTGCTGCCGCCCTGCCTGCTGCTCCTACTGCTGCCAGCCCAGCTGCTGCCAGCCCACCTGCTGTGAGCCCACCTGTTAAAAAACCAGGTTGTTGATTTCCAGTTGCCCAGGACACAGCATCTCTAAACAGTGTATCTCCTCAACCACCCCCCTGGACCACCACAAGTTCTTAGAACTTGGAAGTCATTGGGTTTTTGTCATGGAGGCTACCAAGTGTATGAGTTCTACCTGATACTATTCTGCAACAAATACCTTGACTCTCCACTACCAACACAGAAATGCTGCAAACCTACCAGCTGATTCTCAAAATGCTTTGGATATACTATTACTGATTTTTCTTCAGGGTCGAAAACTACTACATATTGTGGAAGTAATCCTTTAGAACTACCCACAAGTCTAATTCTTCCTCGCTTTATTATCTATTTTTGCTATGTTTACCTAACATTTTTTCTAACATCAAAAGCACCAGGGTATAGTCACGTGACTTTCCTTAGATGTCACCAGAAAGAATGGAAGACCTTCACCTAATATTCAGCTTCTAAGAAGTAGGCTAGACTTTTTCATACTTCAACATCTTATTTCATCCCTTTTTTGGAGGGGGGAGATCTTAAGGATCTTGCCTGTTGGCTATTTCAATTTCATCTGTGATAAAGTGTTTTCTGTCATTTCTTAATAAATATTATAACTGGGCAAACAAACTATAGTCTGTGTTTCCACTTGTACATAAAATGTGATAATGGGTGAATGCCTGCCTGAAAGAAGTACATCTGTTTCTTTTTAAAAGAAACTGAAGTCATATACAGTGTAAGAATTCATTCATTCATTCATTCATTCATGCATTCTATTAACATTTATCAACCACCACTTCTTTTAAAATTTTTTTTTAAGTTTTTAATATTTATTTTTGAGAGAGAGACAGAGCACGAGCAGGGGAGTGGCAGAGGGAGAGAGGGAGACATAGAATCTGAAGCAGGCTCCAGGCTCTGAATCATTAGCACAGAGCCCGATGTGGGGCTTGAACTCACAAACTGTGAGATCATGACCTGAGCCAAAGTGGGATGCTTAACAGATTGAGCCTCCCAGGTGCCCGATCAACCACCACTTCTAAAGCAGGGACTATGGAGATCAGGAAGACAAAGACTTAATTCTTATCCTTGTGGACTTTACTATCCAGAAATAAAAAGCATATGTGTGAAAATAGCTATAAACAATGTAACAAATAAACTGTATTCTCTTAGTAGTCAGCAGGAAAAAAATCTCCCTCTGTCTTAGGGAGATGCTTTTGTGGCCAATACACCTTGATAGTCCAACTTACAATAGGTGGTGTGAAACAAGGATGTGAAATAATTACACATAAGACAGAGAGAAGAACTCCTTTTTTTTTTTACTCCAGAAAGGGGGCGAGGAGATAAAAGAATAGAGGAGAGACCCAGGAAGGAGGTCATGAATATTACTTCGCGATATATCCCCATTAAGTCACTAAACTCATGTGATTACTAGAGTAGGGCAACTTTCCTGTGAACACCAGAGAAAGAGCTAAGTTCTGGGTTGTTTCAGAGGAGCTGGAGACAACCCAGAACCCGGGCAGAGGAGGGGGACCTATGAGAAAGTAATACCTCAGGAACTCTCAACATTTTGGAGAGGCTTTGGAGGCCACTGCTGTGGAAAGTAGTGTCTTGGTCATATAGACTGCAAAGAAGATGGAAGGGTCAGAAACAGGATTTCAAAAAGGAAAAGATCATTTGGGCCGTGTTGGGGGCAGCATCTGGGAAGGCTTCAAAGAGAGGTAATCTTTGGGGTCTTAAAGTCATTCTAAATGTAAGGAAACGAGTAAAAAAGAGTCCAATGTGCACATCTATTAGAGTGGCTAAATCCAAAGCAGCGACAATACCAAATGCTGGGAAATATTAACGGAGCAACAAGAATTCTTACTGCTGGTGGGTACAGCTGCTTTGGAAGACAGTTGAGCTTTTCTTACCAGGCTAAACACAGGCTTACCATACAATTCAGCAATTGTGCTGCCATGTATTTCTCCAAAAAAGAGGAAGACTTATGTCCACACAAAAACCTGCACATCGATGTTTACAGCAGCTTTATTCCTAACTGCAAAACACTGGAAGCAGTGAAGATCTCCTTCAATGGGGGAATGGAAAAACGAACCTTATTATATCTATACAATGGAATACTATTCTGTGATAAAAAGAAATTATTTATCAAACCACAAAAAGACTTGGGAGAATCTTAAATGCATATTACTGAATGAAAGAAGCCAATCTGAAAAGGTTACGTACTATATTATTCCAATTATATAACCTTCTAAAAAAAAGGCAAAACCATAGAGACATTGAAATATTGCCAAAGTGCCCTACCTACTATGCCCTGCAGATGCTTGTAGTCTGACACTAAAATAATAAGCTTATGAATTAAAAAAAATAAAAGTTACAGAAATAGAGAGACACAAGACTGGCCTGTGAAATATAAACAGAAGTCAGTTAAGGGCTTTTAACAAAGCTTTCTTTAACTGATAAAAGGGACACACACTGCTGGTGCTTCTACTTCCTCTTCACCCTGACTGTTCTTTTCACTTTATTCTTTTTAAAACTTTTTTAACGTTTTATTTATTTCCGACAGAGAGAGAGACAACATGAGCAGGGGAGGGTCAGAGAGAGAGGGAGACACAGAATCTGAAACAGGCTCCAGGCTCTGAGCTGGCTGTCAGCACAGAGCCCAATGTGGGGCTCGAACCCACCAACCATGAGATCATGACCCGAGCTGAAGTCAGATGCTTAACCGACTGAGCCACCCAGGCACCCCTGTTCTTTTCACTTTAAATACAGATCGGATTCCTGGAGCTACAGAATCCCAAGAGAATGCAAGGAGCACTGGTCCTGACACAGCCGAGTCTCTGAACCATTGCTAGCAGCTGCCTACCTGTGAGAAGAATAAGTCCTTTTGATTAAGCCAATATTTGTTGGTTTTTGCAAAACTGGAAACCTACAATATTCCTAACCACTATGCAATAGACTGCAGTAAGGTCTCAGAAATGGAAACTTCCTGCATATGATACCAAAGAGGATCTGAGCTGTAGAAGCAGTTCAGTGATAGGGAAAGCACATCGATTGCAAATTCTACAGCAAAAGTGGGGAGCATTTTTAATTGAGGTTCACTGACCATAAATATGAGTAAATGGATAACAAAAGGTATAGAAGAAAATCAGGCTGGGGGGGGGTGGTGGTGACTGAAGTAATAAATGATGGGGAAAAGAATGAAAAGGAAAGGAAAAGTACAAAATAGAAAAGACAGAGAAGACACAATGAAAAAGACTAGGGACAAGAGGCAGAAAAGAAAAGGGGGAAGAATGATGGGTAAGATACGCATAAAACAGAGAGATGAGAACCAATGTGACCTTGTTTAGTATCATACGCGGTGCTCCGTGCTAATTATACTTCATGCGTGCTTCATTTCATTTAACACTTACATTAATGCTTGAAATGGATATTGTTATCCTGGCTTGTAAATGAGGAGAATAAGTCTAAATGAAGCTAAATTGCTTGCTTAAGTCACATACTATTTTTTTTAAGTTTATTCATTTATTTTGAGAGAGAAAGAGAGAACATGAGCATGAGGGCAGAAAGAGAGGGAGAGAAAGAATCCCAAGCAGACTCTGGGCTTTCAGCACAGAGCCTACTCAAATCTCAATCCCAGGAACTGTGAGATCATGACCTGAGCCAAAATCAAGAGCTGGACACTTAACCGACTGAACCACCTAGGTGTCCCTTAAGTCACATATTCTTATAAGTAAACCAAAAAAACAAAAAAACCCTGAAATCTGAACCCAAATCTGTCTGAGTCCAAAACTCATAGAGAATGAAATTAAGGAACTAGACATGAAGGAGGTGCAACCAGTTTCTGCAGGTTTAAAAATGGCTACTTTGGAAGTGGTGGAATTCAGATTACAAATTCTAGAGCAAAAGTGGGGAGCATTTTTAATTACGGTTCACTGACCACAAATATGAGTAGATGGATAACAAAAGGTATAGAAGAAAATCAGGGCACTGATTGAAGTAATAAATAATGGAGAAAAGAATGAAAAGGAAAGGAAAAGTATAAAATAGAAAAGACAGAGAGGTGTTAAATTGTGTCAGGTGTTACTTACTGTCTTAACTTACTGTCTCTCAGTCCACCTGGATAGTCCAGGACATTCTCCATATTTTAGAGTCAACTCATTAGTAACCTTAATTATATCTGGAAAGTCACCTTAGTCCTATAACATTATATATTCATGGGCATGATGCCAGGGCTCAGAGGTCATGGGGCCCCAAATTCTGCCTACCACAAGGATTATCAGACACTGTTGACACTAATTCCTAAAGACCCAAAATGTCACTCCAGTCCACCAAGGAAAGTGGTTGCTTATGGTGGCCTAGTGACAGCTGGCATTTTATCACACATTTGAATCACAGCAGACCCAGTAGGTCCAGAGATCAATACCCCAATTGGTGAACGTATAACTAGAATAATCTACTTGACAACTGGCATTACCCCACATTCACACTCTGGCTTATGGAATAAAGCTCAAATGATAGGAAGAGCCAAGTAGAAGCCACTGGAAGTTCCCTTCATTACAAGGGTAATAAGTCAAAAAGGTGCTAAATCCCTGGTGAATTGGGAAAGTGAGTGCCATTTTCAGGGACTTGAATACAGCCTGGTGGTGATACCTACCATCTCCCCACTGACTCACTTCTTTGTCCTGCTGAAAAAGCAGAAAAATCTTGGAGTATAGCAATGTAATTATCTACTATTATTTTGAACTAATTTGGGTAATGGCCCCAATTGCAGCTGATATTCCACATGGAGTGTACAGAGTATCTTTTTTTTTTTTTTTTTTTTTTTAATTGAGAGAGAGAGAAAGCATGAGCAAGCAAGGCAGGGACAAAGGGAGAGAAAACCTTAAGCAGTCTCTACACCCAGCACAAAGCCTGACGTGATCTCACAAACCAAGAGATCTTGACCAGAGCTGAAATCAAGAGGTGATGCTTAACTGACTGAGCCACCCAGGAGCCCCTGGATAGAGTATCT